TTATTCAAACTACAAACTTCAAACTGCTGCCCCCAGATCTGAATCCTTTTTAGAAACCATCACAGCATTACCTTTTTGTTCTCTAGGATGTTTGTATAAAGACATGATGTGGCAAATGTGCAATTTTTTTTATCCTGTGGTTTCTGTAAGCACTTGTGCAGTGCATCTGTAAGCATCTGAAGAATTTTTGCTGTCATGTCATTGGTTTTTTTCACTCTGAAGAACTTCAATTCTGTTTAAAGTTTTCTGTGACCGCCCCTAGGTATAGCAGTATCTGCATATACTTTAGCACTTTTCAGAATAATGTCACTGGGTGTATGATTTCACATAGGATGATAGCACTGGAACAGACTTAACTGAGGTTGTATAAATAAGTACAGCTATCAAGTCTAGTCATATTTCTAGTAAGATGTCTGGAAATGTTGTTAGGATTTGATCCATAATGATCTCCATTGTTCACTTTCCTATAGTTACCACATATGGTATAACAGAGGGCAGAATATGACCAGCAGAGCATATAAGTTGTCTGGGTATCACTGTTTTTCTGAAAGAAACAAACGATTTCTCATAACAACCTTCAGCTGAATCAGGTTGTGTGATGCATTGAAGATGAGATGGAAACAAATGCAACAGAGGGTCTGAATTCTAAAATCACTGGGCATATGACCCCAAAAAGAAAGGCCTATCTTATCTATCAGCTGCCTCTGCCTCTGCCAAACAGCCCAAGAAGTCTCACCGAAGTGCTGCTTTGCTCATGCATTCATGCACACACGCATTCATTACGACTGACCTGCCCTAGGAAGGTCCATTAAATGGAGCTCATTTCAAGCACAGATGGTCCTGAATAGCTTAATGTCTGCCTGGTGGCCAGAATAAGTGAATTCTTGATGGTCTTAGACTTCTGATCACATACATGCAGCCAAGGAGGAAATGAAAACATGTTTATCATTTTGATAAACAACCTTTCTCATTGCTGCAGGATGCTCAGTGCAACTCAGTAGAGTCAAATACTATTAAATTGTCATCACTGTCAAAGAGAGAACGTATAAGTTTTGCTACCTGAGTCATAGTTAATGACTTGCACAATGTATAACACAAATCAGTAATGCTGTTTTTCCTTTTTTATGTTTGTTTACTGATAAGTTCAGGCTCTGCTAGAATACAGAGGCAAGTTATAATTTTGAAGTGCAAAATATGCTTTTATTATTACCTCTCAGCTAGAGATATAAAGAACGGAGATGACTAGAAGATGGCTTCTTGGCTTCTGCCAGGCATGCACTCAGTGCCTGTAGCTGATTAGGTGTTTTAAATCACAGCCATCCGCTGTAGGTTCATACTTACGATAAAATATTTCACTCTGTGGTGTGTAAACTCAAGGTGGCTTTATAACTGAGATAAAAAATGAACGTGTTTTCAGGAGTTAGATGTCTTCCAATTAGAATTAATCCATTTGCAGGCAGTAGCAAACAGTTGTCCCTGTCCTACAGTAAGAATGATAGGTAATTTCTACACTTTAATATTTGAGCTTATGCAGAATAAAGACTTCCAGGAAGCTAGGACATCTGAGGATGGTCATAATGCCACAGACAGTTGCAATCCTTGGTAGTCCAAATTCCTTTCCAGAATTTGATTCTGTCCCTCTTGCTTAGATAGGTAGCAAATTCCCAAATTTCACGGCATCCTGAACTGAGTGCTTAGAAGCAGTCATCTGCTCTTCCTATCAAGTCCTGCTAATGACTGTTGTCAAAAAGATGTAAGATAGGACATTTCTGTTCATCTCCAAAGTTTCTTGAAGAAAGAGCAAAACTGCTCCTGATTCCGATGCATTTCTAATCTTCCCAATTTCCTGCAAGAGGGGAAATAGCAAATAAGCAACCAAACAAAGCTATTTCTCTTGCCTTCTTAAGCAACCACCTCATGGGATGTAGCTGTCAGCAAGACAGTCATAGCACTCTTAACTGAGATGTGTTTAGGGTGCTTTCCTCTCCTTTTAAAATCAATGGAAAATCCCCAATTGACTTAAATGAGTTGGATAAGGCCATTATTGTAGAAACAAAGCCAGAAGACAGACTAACTCAGTAGACCATAAACTGTTGAAAAAAAGAAAAGAAAAGAAAAAGAAGCGTTATTTCTCTTGTTTGTGACAAAGATTCAAACTTCCACTGCACTCCGACTATCAGGTCGATAATCCACATTGTCATTTAAATTCCTAAGTATTCTTTTGTATACATTCCCAGATGGGAATGGCTTCCAAAGAGAAGTTTGGAGTCAATAATCCATGTTCTTTAAAAGTCCATCAATTTTGAAATACATTCATGCAATATAAATATTTTTCTGTCTACCATCCAGGTCATCCCTAGTAGGCACTACAAAATGTCTTTGAGTATTGTTCCCTCTCTTTTTAAAAAACAAGTTGATATACCTATGAGATGTATATTTTTGTGTATAATATGAGCACTGAGCATATTGCTGTGATTTGTCAGAGATCTGCTGATGACAACTGGAAAGACAATAAAAAATAATATTCTCTGAATCTCTTCTCATTTCTATGAAATATTCCAGTTTCCAAATTTCAAAGGGTGCCCTTAGGGTTGAAATCCATAGTTACCCAGCAGGATTAAAGATGTCATTTTTGACTGGACACCAGTTTTGTTTCAATAAAATTTACTCCTCATGTGAGAAGATCTTTAGTATTCAGTGTCAAGCCCTAGGCAGGTGAACAAAATGTGTTGACTCTCCAAATGCAATGCTTCTTGTGAACAGCATCTTCTTTTTCTTCCCTTTTAACTAAAAGTTGACATATGTAATTTCAACACTGAAACAGCAAACAGCATCAAGAGAGAACAAATGTCATCATGCACCTGCACTGCACAAACTATCTTTGTGTTTGCGGCGTGAAGTCCAAAATGTTCTGTGTTCACTGTTTAACTGGTAGTTTTATTAACAATTCACCTCTCGGCAGTGTGTAAGGTTGCTACTTCCATGCTACATCTCCCATGGAATGGTTTCAATGGAATTAATCTTTAATATTAAACCTGAGAAGCTCAAGCAACTAGAGGAATGGAAATAAGGGGAAAATATTTTTCTTTTGCTCAAGGAAAATATTTCCAGCTACGGTTCTGCTTGTGTTTCCATCCAAGAAACAGACACTGCAGAGAAAACTTCATAATGCATTGCACAATCTTTAGTCTTAGCAGTAGCATTACTGTGGGTATATTCTGATATTTTTATGGTCGGAACAATTAAAAGTTCCAATTAATGTACATAACTACCCAGTGGTAACAAAAGGGTTTTTACATTGCTTTTATAGTTTTGTTATGTTTTCCCACTCCTATGCAGCTACGCACTTGTAGTTAAATTCTTTACTGCTGCAACAACTTGAGCTTCCACATTACAATTAAAGGTGTTATAAAGCTCATCAACCACAACCCATTATTTTGAACAGATAATCAAATGAGAAAGACTAGCTCATGTGGTTATTAGTACTCATACAGGAAATTAATAGAGGAAATGAAGCTTTTAGTTTATTCACAGATATTTACCAGACAGTATACATAATCTAAAATTAGAAATACTTATTACCACATACATTATTTTTATTGTTGTATGTGCAATCAATAAAATCACAAATCCTTCTTCTCTTAGGACATGACCATAATGAGTCAAACAGTGTGAATGTTTTTATGGCTTTCAATATGATTTGGATGGGGGAACAGGGAGTTTATGTGAAGAACTATTTCTTAGAAAAACACAAGGATTTGGGGCTGAGTTGATTGTCACAATTCCTCTTCCTCCAAAGAGACAACTAAACGACCTTTTGTCAAATAATGGCTTTCTGAATTGTTGGGATCTCTCTTCTGTGGTACCTACTGGCTTTCAAAAATCCCATGTCAGCAGATCAAATGTACCTAATAAGTAGTACATGCAGCAGCATTTCTTTCCAGATGAGGCAGTTATTTTCTGCAGTCTTGTCTCAAGCTTGCAGACTCATCAGTGCTTAACTCCAAGATCTTGCAACCCAAGCTCATGTACTTTAATGGGTGTTCACCAGCTTTGATGCACTGACTCATCCTGGAAGGCCAGATTCCTTCTTCACATCCAGATATGGGCCAGCATCTACACATGCTTACAAGCTCTCAAAGCTTTTTCAGTAAAAGGAGGAATGCCAAAGTGCCAATCCTTGCACTGTATTGCTAAGGTGAACAGGAATGGTACATGTTACAATTCACTTCTGTGTCTAGCGTATGCCACAGACACCAGGGATTCATAAACCCTATGACTTCATTTCTCTGCCTACCACTCCTTTGTGCACTCCATTCAAACAGATCATTGCAAATAGTCATAAGGAGCAATGAAGGAGAAGACAAATTAATCCTTGCCCATGATGACAGTATTTCTGGCTTTAAACTGCCCATTTTGTGAGTGGGGTAGTGGAGGGAAATGCTGTTGCACCGTTCTGTAGTTTGGAGAGGCTGATTATCACCCACTATGGACTGTGAGCTGGCTTAGAATCAAATACTTGCTAGATGGATGCCTATAACCCCCATCTTTGTACAGAATATTTGTACAGAGAATATCTGGGAGAAAGATCTTCCAGTATTACAAGCATAAAATCGTCCCAAAATTATTTCATTTATGCATGCAGCATAGGTAGTACATCACCTACATTTCCTCAGGCCCAGACTGTGACTTACTTCATTTTCTTAGTTCAAAAGTCTACAGATGTCAGAGAAGCTTTTAATACATGACAGGCAAAAAATATTGGTTCTTGAGGGTCATTAATCTGCATTTCCTATAGGAAGTATATCAACATCTGTCTTAGTAAGGGTCACAGTCAATGGGAGAAAAATAGCATTGTAGTAGTAGGGCTGTATAGAAGTCATGCAGAGAAAAGGACAATAGCACACTGGGTGCTTTGATTAACTACTTCTGCTCTTCCTAATCAGAAAGTCAATATTGTCTCTTTTTCTTTTTTCCCTTTTTTTTTCTTTTTCTGCCAGAAGGAGGAACGTGTGAAGTTATAGCAGCACACAGATGCTGTAATAAGAATCGAATTGAGGAAAGATCACAAACAGTAAAATGTTCCTGTCTACCTGGGAAAGTGGCTGGGACTACACGAAACAGACCTTCCTGTGTTGATGGCAAGTAGCTTCTCTTGTATATATATATGTACCTGTACCATCCAGTAAATAGCTTCAATTCTATAGATTTCACGTAGGAACTTTGCTGTGTTGTCTGTTCAACTCAACAGGAAAGCTGTGCACATGGATCACACCGAGGTTTACTCACAAAAATATGAGTAAAGCATTCAGTACAGCCACTCAGATCAGTGTAAAAGATATTGTGGCAGAATCAAGTCTTTAATAAATAACTGGATGAAATTATTCCTTGCATCACTTCAAGGGTATCTGAAGTGAGACAGAAGAATCAGTGGGTAATGTAGAATGGAGGACTTTGTAGACAAAGCTTAGTGGTTTTTACATTCAGTACTAAGAAGGTGAAAGACTGGGGGTACCTTCAAGAGATGAGAACCTAATGTTTTCTCAGCAAGCATTTCGGTTAAAGACTAAAAGAAAATATTGAATGATTTCAAAAAGGCTTTCAAAGTCTTAAGTGATGTGGCAGTAATCTGTGTCTTGTTAGTCTGGGAATGCCATTCAGCTTCTGAACTCATAACTAAAAATGCACTATGAATGGACCTCTGAAAGACTGCACTTTAATCCACATTGTGTCATTTTGTTATTGCTTAATTAACTCAATAAAAAGAAACTTTTCCACTGAGCACAGTCAAAAAAAAAAAAAAAAAAAAAACAACCATAGGTGAAATCTACCACTGATCTTAACCTGTACAGCTTTGAAAGGTCTCATGTTCTTCAGCAGGTCGTGAGAAAGAGAGGCACTGGGTTGAGCAGACACCATTAATTCAGATCTCATAATTCTGCTCAGAGGACAGGAGCTCAAAGAGTGCTGTGTTAAGAAAGCTGGGTGCAGGTGTGGACTGGAGCCTAATTGCTTTATCAGGATTACAATAAAAAGAAACGTTTTTGTCTGGAATTTTGAAAGGAGTTAAGGATAAAACAATGACTAATATAAAAGTGCAAAGCTAGTTCCATTGAAGTCACTGGTAAGATTCACAGTGACTTCAAAGCCCAAAAATGTGAACTACAAAGGAATGTCTTCCCTTTTCAAGTTTAGTTGTTGTAGTCAGACCATTGCTTCTTTTGAGAATGGCTGGTGAACAGTTCAAAAGCCCAATATGTTGCATATAAAAATTAATGGAATGGGCATTTCCTTTGGCCTTTGTTTTATCCCAGACTTTGCTTTGTGACTTGTGACATACTGAACGGTGTAAAGTCAGATCTTTGACCTGTTTGGTGCAAAAAACTTCCTGTCAGAGATCTGTAGATGGCAATACTTTAACTCACATGAAGATCTGGAGTTTGCTGTCTCTTTTTTACATGTGGACATTTACAAAGGTCGTGTACAGCTTGTTATCTTGTTCACCTACTGCAGCGAAAGGACAGAGACCTTTTAGCCACATTGGGTTTTACAGTGCGGATGATGTCCAACCACAATCCATCATTCAGAAAGCTTATTTGGATCCATTACTTTAGTGGGGACATTCAGGAACAGCAGTATAGTCTCAGCCAAACAGGTCAACCACTTTTGAGGTGAGAGGAACCAGGAGATACCATGTCAGCAGTCTGACTCATATTGGTAGTGATGATCTCCTTTAGCTTTGTGTATAAAACAACTTGAATCTCAGTCTTGCCCTGTTTATACCATTAGCCAAACTGTGACTTAATGGGATCAGAAGAAAACTTTTGGAGTTTCTCAGTCCAATAGCATCAGAAAACACATCAAGGTCAATGCTTGACTGTTTGTTGCAAACAGAATCGCAATCAGAATTGCTCCACACACACACAAAAAGGCTGTTTTTATTTTACTTTTGCTTTGTTACTACTCAAAACACTTCCTTAAAATACATGGCTGGGGGCTGCTTGAGTTTTGGTGGTTCTACCAGATTTAGCATTGTTAGAGGTCTGATAACTTCAAACAGGCTTTAAAATAACTTTGTTACAACAGCATCAAACGTGAAGGTTATACCAATGCTATCACATTTGAGTCAGGACTGTAATGTCCACCCATCATTCTTCTTTGACCTAATCTTCATGCAAAATTGATGTCACCTTTCTGAACAGGATAAGATTTTCTTTTCTGGCACAAATCAAGCTGGCTGGGTGAACCAGAGAGCAACAATGAGCAAGTGAACTGATTTGTACACTCAACTCATGTCTTCCCCTTTCCCCTTTCCCCTTTCCCCTTTCCCCTTTCCCCTTTGCCTTTCCCCTTTCCCCTTTCCCCTTTCCCTTTCCCTTTCCCCTTGCCCTTCCCTTCCCTTCCCTTCCCTTCCCT